TCTGTGTGTTTCTGGGTATTTATAATTGTTACAGCGTCGCAGAAGCGGCAGCAATTCCCTTCCTGCTGTAGGATGTCACCCTCGGAAGGGTGAGCCTGTCCGGTTGTGAGAGGGAGGAAAGGTCCGTGCAGGAAGGACCCGTCAGCCGAAACTCGTATTTGAACCCAGGGCTCCCCTGCAAAATGGGGCTACTGACGTGTTTGGTTTTAATAGTTGCCATAGAGACGACAGCACACAACTCTTTCAGCAGAGACTGGAAAAGTGAGCGAGCCAAAATACTTCTTGACCAGTGTCCTGGATTTGCAGAGCTTTTGGGTTGGCTGATTGGGTTTAGGGTGGTATTTGTGTTGGGGTTTTTTTTTAAAAACCAAAATAAATGTGTATCCTGTTCCAAGTGTTCTTGTTTCTCCTTTCACGCTTTGCTACTGGGAAGCAGCTGCTGGTGATCGGAAAACTAACGGGGCTCTGAAACCAGTAATTTCTCCTGCCTGTAATATGGGAAAAGGTAGGAAAGGCTCAGCCTTGCTGGGGCTGCTGCTGTGAGGTGAGGAGCTGCTTTTCTCAGATCCCATGTGCCCCGTTCCTCCTCGTTCCCAAGGTGGGTGAGCCAAACCAGCAAGGAACTGCGGTCGCATCGGGAGGGCTCATTCCTTCCCGCACCGCAGCCCCGAGCCGGGACCTCCTGCCTCGTCTGGCCCTGGCAGCTGGGGTTCCTGCTAGGGGAGACTCGAACCAGGGTCTGGGGAAGGGTGTGGGAGGCGGAGGGAGGCGAGAGAAGGAAAGGGTGTCCTGGGGGAGGCCCCTTTTTAATGGCACTTGTAATAAAGTGCATCCCCGAGTGTGCAGCTCGTGGTGTCTGCCGGCAGCCGGGCGGGGGAGGGGGCACCCGCGTCTCCTGCAGGTTTGGGGGACCCAGCTCAGGGCAGCAGTTGGAGCCTGGAGCAGCCGGTGCTGAGGAAACCATCAGGATTTGAAGTCCCCAAGCAAGACTGAGCAGTTGCTGTAGGCTCCCAGTTTCTGGGCATCTTGTCTGCAGCACAGAGCGTCCCTTTGCTTGCCGTGGTGTTACCCCGGAGGGGTGGGAATGGCGAACGAAGCCTCCTGGCATCGCTGCTTAACCATCGCCTCAGCTCAGCGGTCCAGCTCCCGCGCAGGGCCGGGGTTATTAAAAAACCAGAAAAAACCAGCAAGTAATGAACCGTTTACTGCGGTCTTTCCAGATGCCGGTGACGTCTCCATCCCTGCAAAAACAGCGACGTGGCGTTAAACCCCTGACCATCGCTTCTAATGCACCTTTAAACCTCCCCCAGCCCGGAGCTTTAACGAGAGCGCTGAATTCTCCAGCAGTTACCCAATACGTGTACTTCTAATTTAACGAATCATCTTTCTGCCAGCCGCTCCGTTAATAAATCCTCCTCGTCCGGGCTCCGCTTTCATCAGCTCGGAGATTTCAGTTCAAAATCTTCTGCCTTTCATTAAATCTGGGCTGGTGTTTATTAACGCTTTCGATCTTCCCTCGGCGTGCTGCAGCCTGGCTCGCCACGGTGGGTCGGGGAGAAACACAGGATGTAATTTTTTTATTAAAACGAGAAGGAAAGCCTTAAATTCCTTTGGGAAACGTGATGAAATCCTTGTCACGTGCAAGGTGTAAAGAACTTGCTCCCGCCACTAAATTAAATGAGCGGGGCAGGAGAGGGATAAAGATGTCTCTGTAAATCACCTGGAGCCACACAGTTCATCCCTGTTCAGTGTCTTTCATTAAAGCAATCATAAATCAGCAGCTGGGGCCCAAGAGGGTGAGATTTATTGGCAGGGAAAATTTGGGAGGGGACGAGCTCAGAGGATACAGAACTTTTTTTTTTTTTTGCCTCCTGCATGGTGCAAGCTCACAGGTCTCTGCTGGCACCCTTCCTTCTTCAACTACTCTCCAAAGTTTCCTGGAAATCTAATTTGTTATTATTTTTCCTCTTCCACGCAGTTATCACCAGCTGGCTTTCACCCTTCGCCTCCCGCGCGCTCCCTGAGCAGCTGGAAGATGGCTGCACGGACCCTGTGTTGACCAAAGGACCTCAGCACAGGGCAAGGGGAGAGTTTATTTACCCCCTTCCACCCTGAGAGGGAGGAGGCAGAGCAGGAGCATCCATTTGAGCCACACAGCCCCGTTCCCATGGAGGCGGTGCTGGGCACTGGCCAGGGAAGAGGCAGTGACATCATCTCT